CCCCCCCACTGCCCGCCGCGCCCTGCCCACCCGTCCTTTCTGATCATCGGAGAAAGAATACGAGCGAGGACTCGAGCGAGAAGGATTGTTCTTGGTGCTCGGTGTGGCTGCGCGGCAGAACCAGAACGCGGCTCTGATTAAGTCTAAGCAGGCGTTCGAAGTAGCGTCGCCGTCGGAGTCCCGCGAGTAGCGGCCGGCTGCGTCTGTTTCCATCGCACCAACTCGGAGGCCACCGCAGACGGCTCTATGCATGGCATACATCTCAGTGTGTTGCGCTGTCCTCCCTGCAGTTGACTCGCGTCGTCGACGGGCAAGGCGTCGCGTTCGGCCCGCCCCGGCAGAGTGTCGGCTCGACAGGGAAGGACCAACGGGCCGGGACCGGGCTGGAGCCAAAAGAGACTCTAAAACACCTCTGAGCACAGATGGCTTGGCAGCGACCCCTCGGACACTGGCTCCGCGCCCTGTGCGCTGCGCTTTGCCTGTCGGCGCCGGGACTGGCCCTGTCGACCACCAACAGCACCACCACTGCCGCGGGAGACCTGGGTGAGACGCGGTCCCGTGAGCATTGCACCAGTGCATCCGGAAAATCTCTGATAGAATCGAGAATTGTTTGTTTGTTTTTTTTTCGGCACAAGAGGAAACTTATTTGGTCCGTAACATGTCAAGGTTTTTCTCTAGTTTGAGCTGATCTAACGGTGATTGAAGACTTGTTACAAAAGTTCACGTTGAATCAAGGTGAAATTTTCTGAGTCACCCACTAAAAAAGGGTTTTGACGAAAGTAATTTTTACCTGTTTCGCAAAATTTCGATTTTTCGAGTGTGCGTCTCAGCTGCTGTCGCCGCTAACTTGCGCACAATTGTAAATGTCTGGTAGATTCCACGCCCGCCACCACCACCACCACCACCACCACCACCCACAACCACCGCGACCACCACACCAACCACGACCACCACCACCACCACCACCACCACCACCACCACAACCACAACCACTGAGGCGACCCGCTGCAGGACGTTCTACGCGCACGGGGAGGCGTCCCGGACGGACGGCTTGGGGTACAGCACGCAGTTGCTGTGGCGCGAGCACGCCACGCCCACGACGCCGGGCTGGCCCGGCTCCCGGACGCTGGCTGTCAACGTGACGGCCACGGAGGGCGCGCGCGTGATGCTGGGCAGCGCGGCGCGGGCGCTGCCGGGCCAGCAGCACTACGAGCTGGTGCTGGGCGCCGCGGCCAACGCGTCTCGCCTGCTCGTCCACGGAGCGCACCACGTCAGGGGCGGCGGGCCGCCGGCGACCCCGCCCGCCACCGACGCGCCCCTGTTCGAGGAGGGCGACCTGCAGCTGTGGCTGCGGTGGACGCCGGGGGGTAGCGGCGCCAACGCGACCGGCCGTCTGGAGGTCACCGCTCAACCGGTATTAGGCTCAGCAGCAATTGCGGCGAGGATAGCGCTTTCTGATATCGGCTTGTTGTACAATAAAAAAAAAAGATGTTAATTCGTACCTTTCTGGGGCAGAGGTGCTAAAGCAATGTTCAGTTTCAAACCCCTATAAGGTCGGACATAGCACCTTTGTGTTTCCAGTGTAGGTGCAACAATTAATTAGACGCGCACTCTGCAGGCCGGGCGCAGCGAACCTTTCCTGCTCTTCAACTACACCACCACCACGCCCATTCAGGTGGAGACGTTCAGCTTCGGCAGCACTGTCCCCGGAGACGTCGCGTTCACGGTGTGCTACTCCGGGGCCAGCGACGCCCGCCAAAAGTCTGGTACGTATTCTTCCGTCGCGGAGGTCGCATCAGGAGGCCTAAATTGTGCTCGAATGACAAAGGTTGCAGCGGTAGCGTCAATTTGATTTTACCCCGGTCTTTGGTTGCGCGGTGCGCGTTCTTGCCCGCAGGCCTCGGTGTGCCCGGGTGTCGCTCGCTGCTCGTGCACGTAGAGAACAGCTACGCCAACGTCCACAGCCTGGCGATGCACTGGTCGCACACTGCGCACCACCACGGCCAGCTTCAGTTCTGGGCCCGCGCCTCCACTGACGTGGAAGTGATCGTCTCCGACCGCCTGCACCTGAAGCGGAACGACCCCAAGTACCACGTTGTCTACGGGGGAGACTTCAACACCAAGAGCTGGGCCATAGGTTACGAGAAGACCGGCTCCCGCCAGGCGGTGGCCAAATCACCCGCCCTCCTGTCCGACATCCAGGTGAGAGCATGGAGAGTAGGGTGTTTAAAATAAATAGATTCGCGGAGTAGTCGATTTTTCGGTTCACCTTGGTTTTTAGAGTACAGCGCAAAAAATCCGAACGAAATCGGCCCCGATTTACCCGGTACGCACCGCGTTCACTTTTGGGGGGCGCGCCGGCCGCTCCGCTTCCGCATTGGCTATGCGCGCCCGCCGCGGGTGAATGGAAAATAATTGCTTATGGCATCGAATAGGACAAGCAGAAAATATTTTGGTGTTTGTTGTTTGTTTGTTTTTTTTTTGGGGGGGGGGGGGCACCGTACGGCCCAACGTTGAGCTTTACGTGCCGCTGGTTCACATCCACACTTCGCAGTTCCGACCTCTGTGGCTGTCGGTGACTGCTCAAGGCGCCCTCAAGGCCGGCAGTGGAGATCTCCACGCCAAGAACAACACGAGCGTCGTCACTCTCCTGTCCTGGCGGCACCCTCGCGCTCCCGATCCGAAATTCCTTACCTTCGCCACATTCAGGCAGCGAATGGTCCACGTCCTGATAGACTGCGCCGGTAAGTCTCACGCCTCACGTTCTCGGATTGTTCTGGTTGTCACAAATGATCAACCAGGAAGACAGTGAGTTCACGCTCGATCCACTTTCATCGTCACTTTCGCACCCTCCGCAAGCGCGCGCTTCACGTCCGCGCTCACGGCGGGCGAGGGGGGGGGGGGGGGGGGGGGGGGGAGCGGGGAGGCAGAGCACCAGAGCACTCCTTGATCGTAGCCTACTCGCTCGCGGTGTCCTCTTCCTACTTCCTCCATCCTCCCTGCTCCCCCCGCGCCCGCCGTGCTGTCAACGCGGGCGTGAGCGCGCGCTTGCCCAGCGGGGAGCGCCCATTCTTAACTGAATATAACACATGCAGAGTCGCCTTCCCTGCCACCATCTCAAGATTATCCATCCGACATGCTTGACGAGGTACGAAGCGCCTTGTTTTCGGCCCGTTCCCCGGCCTCGTCCTTGGAGATGGACATAGGGAGGCTGTCATTGCACAACGGCACCTTGACCGCCACTGGGAACCTACTCCAGGTGATGTTCTTATAAGACACTGACGATGGCACTTGGCACAGGCAAGAAAGTGGACACATCCCTTTTTTGAAAATCTAGTAGTTCTTTTTTAAAAAATAGAAGAAATAGATTTTTTCTAATTCTGAGCTGTAGATGATACCCAGATCAAAGTATAGGATTATTTTTTCGGCGACGATCATCGGCAAGAGCACGAAAGTCCGCTTTTAACCGCGCTGTGTAAGTTCGACCGAAAAACACTGAACTGAAAACAGCTCTTGTTCTTCGTATGCATCATCTGGAAAGTACATCAGTTTCTCTTTCATTCGATCATTCAGCGAGCTCGGCGCCTGCAAGACTCAGGGTAGGCCACTCCCCAGTGCATGCGTGTCGTGTGCTCCATGAATTGCCTACCTAGCAGGCGCGAAGAGATCTTGCATGAGCTGAACTTCGGTATTTTGTAACGGCAGATGTCAGACGCACTTTCTGAATGATCCCGCCACAATAAGTGCGATAATTTAAATTAAAGAAGCGGTTTATTACATTGCTCAAAGTTAATTTTGTGCTCTATATCTCCCTTGTTTCCTTGACGTAGGAATGGAACCATCTGAACATCAAGTGGAATCCAAACTGGTTTGATGCAGTGAGACGAATGGAGTTTTGGCTAAAATATTTGGATGAGTCCTTTGGTAATGCAACAGCAACTTCAGTTTCTTCCTTGAGGTATGGATTTAGCTTAAAATAATTCAAGTATGCAATGTCAGTGTCTACAGATACACTATTTAAAAACAGTCTAGGTGCTGAAGTCATTTTGGAACCCGCAATATTAGAAGTAAATGCCAATAGAACAATAACTTTGAAGTTTCCGCTGAGACTTCAAATGCCATGCATGCATAATACTCAAAACAATTCAGAAACTTGCTCTCTGTCAATTCAAATATATTCTAAGTCAAGAGATTACAGAGTCCAGGTAAGTGGAGTGGAGTCTTCTCTAAAAATTCACTGATGACTCAAACAATATATTAAAATATTTCATTTTCTCTGTAAGACTTTGAAAAATATTCACAAATGGATGGTTCAATGCCACACAGTCTTGAATAATGATAGCATGCAGCTTCATTTTGTTGCAATCAGCAAGTACCAGCAAGAAAACCAAAATATCACTGCAGCTTTGTCAACACCATCTATTCAACAGAGGCATTATAATGGTAATGTGCAATTTTACATGTTTCGGTTTATCTTTTGTTAATTCCCTTTCTGAAAGTAAAATGAAAAATCATGATCTCTCTCCACAGTATGGCTGAAGTGGATGAGCATTGTTTTAGCTCTGGCTTCTCTTGTCTTGGTTTTCCTCACAAGTAAACACCTGAATTACAAAAGAAACCCCCCAAAATGGTTTTTAAATGTTCTTGCCAAGTCCAAAAAATTAAAAACAAGCCTCTGTCAAAAGGTGAAATTTCTTCAATTATTGGATTATTGTTTACCCAAACACAAATGCATTAATCACATCTTCTTGCTATTGATAGGAAATGGAGGATAATATCCTCATTGTTGGATATGATGGATTGTCTGCAAATATAATTGGAACCAACCCTAAGGAGTTCCAGGACTCAGAACAAAATAGTGGCGAAGTATCCCAGATACAAGATAGCACATATTCTTCCTCCGGTAAGAGGGGCCACAAGCATTTAACCAGAACTCGATGCACAGAACTGACAATATTGACATTCATATCTACTAGTTTAATAGTTTCATTGATGGATTTGGTCATTTCATTAAAATAAAGAAAAGAAATAGAAAATTGCTTTAGAAAATGAGTTTTATTGAAATAAACACAATTATCAAATAAGCACTAACACTAAGAAAACACAAAGAAATGTGAGTAAAATAATTTTAACTCACTTTGAGGACTCTATTAAATTTTCATCTGACTTTGGTTCGTTGGGAACAAACTCAATACCTCTGCCACTTTCAGCATTACTTAATCGTTCAGATCCTCCCTCTTTTGATTTATAAAAGTCCTTGGCTGAAGATAGCAGCACATTCTGGATTGAACGCGGGTTGGTGACTTTTGAAGGAAAAATTGGGGGATATGGATTTCCTGTAATATAAAATTAATATTATAACTAAAATTGTGACAAAGATTGAAAGCAACAGTACTTAAAATGCAATACAAACCTTTAAGCTCAAGAAGTCCTTTCGGATAAGATACCGTTCGAAAGGCTGGAATAGTTTCATTGATCTCTTTGTCTGGGTACTCTTCATTAAGTTGAGGCTGGAAACCATCCGAAAAGTACCAGAATGGTGCTCTATAAAAGTTTGTATAGGATGTTGGATAATTTTGGTATCGAGGTACAAGAACTTTGAAAAGTTTGTGTACAAGTTGCTTTTCTTCGAGCCACCAGTCTGCCATTTCCATAGTTTCTGGGCATTGGGGACCATTCCTTACTGCTTCTGAAATCAACTGAAAAAGACAAAACTTTCTCGCTAAGAATGGATGAATTATTGAACTACAATGTAAGAGTACTTTACATTAAAAATAGTTTTAAAAAAATGATACTCAATCATACCCTTTCAGCATATCCTCTTGCTTCGTCAGCAGGATAGTAGTCCATTTCTATTCTCTCGTACTTAAACAGGGCTGTTACAGATGCCCTCAGTTTCAATAGACGTCCCTCTGGTCCTGGTACATCGCCGCGACGAAGTTTCTTCACGTGCCAATGAACCGGGATTTTAAGCCGCGAAACCAATTTTGATAGTTCCGCATAGTGAATTAACGGGCGAAGAGGCGTTGGCTTATTTAACCGCATGACGACAGAACTCGAAGTTTCAACTTACGAACAAAATTAAGCAAAGATTGTGCACAAAAACATAACCTGATCAGGGCAAGTGGACTGCAGTGCCTGCAGAAGACAACAACAACAACAAGGATCGAGAGCTAAACAAGAACGATTGTCTCGCTTTTCTTCGAGTCTTTCGTTTGTCGTTGTGGGATCTCTGCCCTGAGTCACAAAAAGCTTCTGTAATTCATCATGGCGAATACATTTGCGCGATGTTTTGGCTATTGTAATGTAAATTTTACAGAAAGTTTCTAGGAAGTAGCTAGAATTACGTACTCTTTCGAGTTCAAATTGGGATCTTTGTCGATAGGTGTGTAAGATCACTGTTTCTTTCCGTGTGATATATAAGTGTTAACTCATCCAAAATCATCGTCATTGCTGTGCGTGTTTCCATCTGTCCTTGGAGGTAAATATGGCTGTAATCTTGATTCTCTTAACGTATTGCAGATTAATAATGTGTTGACTGTAGTATTTAGGCACTTGGTTTTTTTAAGTTGTCTTAATTTGACCGATAGGTTATATTCGAAAATATGTTGTTTTGGTCCAGGACCTACGTCAATCCACTTACGTGTTTTTGACGTGAGCCAAGCAGACGACTGTACTTCCGCATTGCTTGTCGATTTACGCATTTACCTCCACTTCTAATCGTACTTTTTGAGCACCATTCGACATGTTCTTTTCCGTAGCTTTCGAGAGACCCCACTTGATATGCGTTCTACTTTGAACGCATGGGCGTAGAGATTATTTTGGCTTGGTCTTATTGTTTGCAGATTGGGGCCTGATGTGGGTCATTACTCCTTTATTTGTCACCCCTTGTCAGGGGTTGTCTGTTTTCATGAATAGCTATTTTAACAAGTCATTGTAAAGTGTGTTTATTTTGTGCTCAGTAAATTTACATGTCACAATGACTGTTAACACTAACAGTTCATATGTCTACTGCAACAAAGCAGTGAGCCACTGACCTTTAGTACATTTCAGAACAAAAGCGGTAGATGTATGAACATTTAAGTACAGGTGTATGCATAGTTTTTGTAAAAGTACACTATAGGGGAATTTCATTGTGTCATTGTCATTCTAATTTTCATTGCTGCTCTTTCCCCCAGATATTTCAATTGTTGAGCAACATGGCTGAAGATGACCTGCTACCCAAAAGCCTTCAGAAACTGGAAATTGATTCTCAAAGGTATACCATCAATTGCCCTGTCTCTACTGCTCACTATCTTGTCTCTCAAAAAATTTCTATTTAAAACTTCTGCTAATTTTGCTGGTCACTTTTTGCTTCTATAACACTTGAAATATTTTAAAATTTCTTTTTTTCAGCTTGCTGGAATCTGAGTCACAACCCACATTAGAGTCTCTAACTCTTCTGGGGGACGATTGCCCCCGAGAGTCATGTAAGTGTAACAAAAAAGCCCCGAATTGTGATACAAATACCAGTAGTTCATGGAACAGAAGGCGGTTTGTTCACAAACCTTTCTCATCCTCATTAAGTAATTCACAAAACTTCAGCATCATTAAAAAGAGTCGGTTTAAACCTGGCTCTTCTCGTTCTAAAACTTGGATTCTAAGGGAACCTGTCCTAAAGCTTGAAAGTTTACCACGAAAGGAGAGTGTTGAAAGCTCTTCTCCATCAGTTTCCCCAGTTCGGTTGGATACCAAATCAACCTCTGACTCACCCAGTGAAGTCTTAAAATTACCATTAGGCCCTATTAAGTCACAAGGTAGTGTTTTTGGTGCTTGTGCATCTGTAGCACATACTGATTTTGGTGGATTGCGACCATCTAAGTCAATATCCGAAGAAATAAAGGAACCGAAACAGTTCACAGCCACAAGTTACCGAAATATTCGCTTAAGTACCCCTCCATCAAGAACAATGCAACCATCCAAGGTTGTGAAGAGGAAGAAAGATCATAGGAAGGAAAGCAGTTCAAAGTCTCGCCCCATCAGTGATACTACTAATACACTCGCTTCAAGACAAACCTCTTTACACCAATCAACTGGTCAGTCAACTTCCTGCTCACAGCAAGCTAGAATGGTTGGTAACAGTCATGTCAGCACTGGAAATGATGACGTAACTATTGATGAGCTAGCCAGTTATTTCGATCTCTTTGTCCATATTCCTCGCAAAATGTCTCATATGGCAGAAAATATGTATATTTAGGAGGTATTGCTGATCTTCTACAAACATTTTTTACATCAGTGGTGTAAAACGATTCACAGATGAATGAAAGAACTACAAGCTCACCACACCTTTTATGATGTTGAAGTGATACTCAATTTATTGACAACCGTGTTGGGATTCTCAAAATGTGTGCTCATTTTTTGGCAGCTTAGTCCTATTTCAACTGCTTTTGTTTCTTCTGTCCACCTATCTTTACATGAAAGAGTGTCAAATCAGTTTCAATCCAAACTATATCCCTTTTGGATTGGTGTGAAAATTTCTAGTAAAATTGCTTTTTTCCAGTCTATGAGTTGTCAACGTCTATTCTATTTTGTTCGGTGAATTGAAATTGCCTTTACGGAATCATCCTGGGCAATCAAATGTATCAGTAAATAATTGTTTTATAATCATTAGACTAATATGAATTTCAAGGAAATTCTTGAGGTATTAAGTTTTTGTTAGGCACTTGGGCAATGTTTATTCATGTTACTAAGCATTTGTACACACAGGCTCTAACAATGTTTTGATGTGATGTGTCCTTTAAGATCTGTTCTTTTTCTTTAGAAAACAAATAATGGTCAAAGGGTCAGCACAGGTGACCCAAATTAACTTCTTAAATGATCTAAATGTTAGATCTTATTTTGTTCTTCTAGGTCATTTTCTTCTAGCTGTTGTAGACAACTTTGGGTGTTCTTGAACTCATCTTATAATTAATTGGTATTAGGGATTTTTCTGTTAATTTCATCTGAACTCTATTGTTTTCTTTTTTTTTTCTTTTTTGCAACACAGAGGATTTTTAGCTTATCAAGCTGTTTATTGAAAAATTGTGCCACCCACGATCATAGGTATTGTGCTACGTGTCTTGAAAGTGGGTAACTGTGATCTGGATGTTTGCATATTATCCAGAATTGTCATCAAGGTATTAGTAGGAGACATAAGAAACAAGACTGAAGTATTTGAACATCAGAATAAAGTAGAGCTCTCAATTTGTGTATTGAAGAGAATTTACAATGTCACAACCTGGAAGATTTTGTGTTGCTGCTTTTATTTTTTAAACTATGTACTGACTAGGTGCTCTACCTCATGAACACTAATCAGGTAGTTCTTTAAAAAATATTTCTCATCCACTCTTGTCTAGAGATCAATGTTTCAAGATCAATTCTCATAGCAGCAAATTGTAATCAGAATACTGAAATGCAAGTTACAAATAAAATAATCTTTATGGACTATTTGTTTCATTTTGATTTATTTATTTATATTTATTTATAACCTACTGAAGTGACAATAGGTATGTCAGACTCATTAATGAACTCAGCACTACACTTGGAATTTGTCTGAACCTGATATTGCATTGCATGAAACTTCTCACATCCCAGACATGTAACAAGAAAATTTAACCAAGTGAAATACAAAACACGGTCACTAGAAATTATTTCATTTAATACATACAACAGAACACTGAAACTTGACAATCTCACCCCATGGTTCAATATAGATCAAACTCATCCAGTTATGTGCTACACCAGGTGCTATGCCTGCTATGCTACAAGTTTGTGGACACTCGGTAAGGAAATCAGGTGAGGTTTGTTGAAGTCATAGACTAAAAAATTACAATAAAACCAATTTTTTCCTCATAATAGGTATGGAATAAGATAAAAGTACCTATAATAAATTCAAAAATGGAAAATAAACCTAACGGAGAGAAAAGAACGCATTATTGAAGATCAATAAATTCTCAGTGATATGCCACTTGCAACTATGACCAAATACATTATTGAATCACTTACACTCTAAATAAATCAAGTAAGAAAAGAATTGAAGGATGTGGTACCGAAATATCCAGTAGTAATAAAAAACAAAAATTAGCCTTTCACTTCTTAAAAAGGAACACGTCATTTAATTACAAAGAAAAAAATCACTTTGCAGACACAGCAGTACTGCTTTTAAAACGCTCAGCTCTCATTTTCTTCTTATCATCCAAATTTGCTTTGATAGATACTGATGACGAGGGTGCAGTGATTGGAACCCTACCGGGTTTTGTTGACACAGCAACTGGTTCAGGTTTTGAAGTTATGACTTTAGAGGAACCATTAGTGGATGTTGTGGATGTTGTAGATGGTGTCGACGATCCACCAAATCTCTCTAGCCTCTTCTTCTTACGCTCTTCCATCTCCACCTGAAAGACACATGTCTCATTAAGATAAATACCAACAATTTTACTAACATACCTTTGAAGCTTCAAATTTAATTTATTATTCAGGGATCTTACCAGTTCTATTTTGCTCCCAGCCTGGACACCAAACCGTTCAGCCCTCTTCTTCAGTAGATCCACATTTACTTCCTGGAATATTTAATGAGCATTTAAGCCTTACAGTCAAAAACCTACACTAGTGTTGAAAAGATGATTACAATTTTTTGACAACTTACGGGAACATTGCCTGCCGATGTGACAGAGGAGGCTGAAGAACCAAACCGGGCAGCTCTAGCTTCTTTCTTTGAATCAGCTGAGGCAGTTTCACCAAACCTAGCAGCACGGGCCACTTTCTTGGCTTCAACTGAAGCTGGGGCTCCAAACTTAACCGCTCTTAAGGCAAGGCGCTGCAAAGAAAGTTCGGGATTAGTTTAGCGAAGAGGCACTGCATTCAACATTTTAAGGAACGATGTGTACCTCTTTCATGCTGATTTCTGACAGTTTGACAACTTTCTTCTCCCCATCATCTTTTTCATCTTTCTTTTCTTCCCCATCTGACTTTTCTGACAGAGTTGGAGTGACTTGCTGAGAAATAGCCTTCCGATTTAATGTGATTTTTTTTGCTGGAGGCCCATTATCTTGCGGCTGAGCTACACTTCCCTTTTCTCCAGGTGTACTTGTCACAATTTCATCATCTAGCTCCTCATCCAGCTGTCGTTTTAGTGAGGCACTTCCTTCATCAGGTGTAGCAATGGTATTAGAATCATCTTCGTCCTATACAAGAAGTATACATTTCAATCATGTTAATTTAGAAAAGCAAACAAAATAAGTGAAGAATATAAAGAATACTGATTGAATGAAGTCTGAATACTAACAGCTAGCACATCATCTTCATTTAGGATGTCCTCAGTGTCCACAGTACCAGTATCGTCCAACAGTAATGATGAATCTGAACACAAAATAACCAGCCTTCAGGAAAATGTATGTGAACTAACATATGATAAGCAAGTCAAGCAAGTCATCAAATGCACTGATACATGATCTGATAGTAGATTTAATGGTCTCCCAACAGATTGGAAGCAAATAGAGCTCCTTATTTAAGTATCGCATGTGCATTGGATGAATCGTTATAAAAATACCTGTACCATCTTGTAAGACAACTTGAAGACGATCTTGTAACTCCTGCTTGTTCCCGACAGTGCTGAGCCCACGAACTTTTAACTCGCGCTTCAAATCAGCAACCTGAAAAAGTAATAATCAAAAAGTAAACATAGAAATCGTTGTGAAATGTCCCTTGCTTTGCCTTGACGCCAGTGAAAGAAAAGTGTGAGGTTAGGATGGAATTAGCGGTGTAATAACAGCATGCAAAAGACAATGTAATTAAGGGAAGACTAATTGCGCCTTCACAGAAAACAATAAAAACTGCAGAAAATCGAATCGAGTGGCATAGTAATTGAGTATATTGATTGACAGAATTGCTTCTCTGCTTCTCTTTCTGGCTAAAGCAATGGCACCTGAATTTCTAAAAGCAAAACCGTCGTTGACATCGACGTTAAATGGAGATAAAGAATCACGCGATAAATAAAACCAATATTAGTAACAAAGAGTGAAATAACGAGCAACGCAATCCCGGCTACAAAATTAACCTCACATGTAAACAAACCGGCTTTGCTGAAACCTTTAGTGAATTCAATGGAGTAAACTATGTTTCAAACCTTTAACTTAGAAATGTCCTTTAAAGAAGTGTCAGACATTTTGGAATACGCGGAGTACAAATTTTCAGAAAATTAATGCAATGAACTGCTTTGGTCTCTCCGATCTCTCCTGGAATTCTTCTGGACTTCTCTGAATCTCTGGATAACTTGGACTTGGACTTGGGATTCCTGACCAGAGAGAATAAAAATGGAACGGGGCGGGCGGAAGGAGAAGAAATCTTCGAGAAGTCACTCTCAAAGTCGATTAGGTTGAAGAATCGAATGTATCGATAGATCGCAACCAACAATCGTTTGTGGGCAGCTCCAGCTTGCGGATTGTTGATGTTTAGAATTTGGCAATGTGTCATAGATTTGGTACATTTTGAAAGCTTTGGGATGTTTTCATCTATTTCAAGAAGCTATGTGTGTGGAGCGCTACAACTGATGTTGTGTACTGCATAGAAGAACTTCGTATGGAAGTAGGGCCTTGAAAAAATAACCGAAAATGTTACGGTTTCTCAGCCGACGGAAGGGCCGAAATGCTCAGAAAACATCATCTCAAAACACATCTGGATCTAATCAACGATTCATTCCTAATAAACATCTTGTTCAATGCAAAGTTGTCCTACTAGATGGTACAGATCTGTCCGTGGATTTAACCGTAAGTTAATGCAATGTATATTTACATTATACATTGGGATTAAGTACTCCCTTTCACTACCACACAGTCATTTTATTTTTCTAGAGACGTGTGCTGTCTTTGAACAGTATTTCTAATTGTTCTATCTTAACAATCTTACTGTTCAACTAATAAATTAATTCAAAATTAATTCGTCATGTATATTGTATTTCACATACACTCTATTAAGGTCAAGTGGCAAATCTTAGGTTATTCCCACTCCATAGAACTTATCTAACAAAATTTGAGGTGTTTTGATACCTTATCTGATGTAAATCTGCCACATTCAATATCTTGGCTCTACATAATTATTTCTATAACATTTATCATGCCAGTACTTCATCATATTTTTTAAACCAGTTATTCATTAATTGTAGTACCAGTTTTGTTATATAAATTTGATTGCTTTATTTTGATTTTGATTTTCTGTGCTATGTAACTGTAGTCTAATAATAGAAATTTATTTTGATCTCTCTCAGAAAAAGGCTGTTGGTAGTGACCTTTATGAGCAGGTGTTCTATTCCCTTGATCTAATTGAAAAGGACTATTTCGGACTTCAGTACACGGATGCCAACAATGTAAAGGTAGGTTACCAGACAAACTGTCCAAAATTGTGGCATATTTCTGTTCAACACACTTCAGGTCATCAGAAAAGAGAAAGGGAGAGAGAAGGAGAGTGTAGTGGTTCAACAAAGAAGCATCACAAGTGCTTCAGACTTATCCTATTTGCAGAAGCCCTGCTGAGTTGAGCTGGTCCACTGCCACACTATTTTTATTTCTATGGCAATAATGAGAATTATGATTTTGTTTTCTTTTTCACCTTAGCACTGGTTGGATCCTACTAAAGCAGTGAAAAAGCAAGTTAAAAGTAGGTATTTTCCTCACTCATTTTTTCTGTTATGTTATGAACCTCAATCAATCTAATGAATTATTTGTTCTTCTAGTTGGACCACCGTATACTTTGTTCCTCAAAGTAAAGTTTTACTCATCAGAACCAAGCCAGCTTCGAGAAGAGCTCACAAGGTATCAGTTCTTTCTACAGCTCAAGCAAGATATTCTTGAAGGGCGTTTAGAATGTCCCCTACAAACTGGTGTAGAGCTCTGTGCTCTGGCTTTGCAGTGTAAGTAGCCGTATCAGTTTTTTGATTACTTTCAAAAATACTACAGACATATGACTTTTAGTCTGATTTTTTTTTTTTTTTTCAAATTATCTGTCTTATAGCTGAACTAGGTGATTTTGAAGAAGGAGTGCATACTCCTGCCTTTATATCAGAGTTCCGTTTTGTGCCAAGCCAAACAGAGGACTTTGAGATAGCAGTTCTTGAAGAATATCAACGATGCAAGGGCTTAAGTCCTGCTCAGGCAGAAAGCAATTACCTGTGCAAGGTAAGCTATCCTGATTTTTCTTCTTTTGAATAGTTCCACATCTGTTGAACTATTTTATTCTACTGTCTGTTTATCCTGTTTTTTCTTTTCACAAAGTAATATTATGTTTTACCTATCACTAGGTGAAATGGTTGGAGATGTATGGAGTTGATAATCATACGGTTTTGGGCAAAGACAGCTGCGAATATTCATTGGGGCTTACACCCACTGGCATTTTGGTCTTTGAGGGTGCCCAAAAAATTGGTCTTTTCTTTTGGCCCAAAATTGGAAAACTTGATTTTAAGAAGAAGAAATTGACTTTAGTTGTGGTAGAGGATGATGATCAAGGTCATGAGCAGGAACATACTTTTGTATTTAGGCAAGTAGTGTAGTGCATTAAATATCGTTTGTTTTTTTGTTTTGCTTTTGCGGTAAATTTTGCATTAGGTGTTACGTCCTTTTCCCCCTCATTTTGATCTCATATTTCTTCCTCAGACTTCACAATGAAAAAGCTTGTAAACACTTGTGGAAATGCGCTGTTGAACATCATGCCTTTTTCCGCTTACAAACTCCTGCCAAAGGTTTATCAGCACGCCAGAATTTTTTCCGTATGGGATCAAGATTTCGATACAGTGGTAAGTTGAAATACCATACAATGATTGCTGTAGCATCAGCATCAGAAAAAACTACAATTTCCTTCATAACGTTTTTTTAAAAAAAATTTCACAGGTAAAACTGAGTTTCAAACCACTCAACAAAATCGTGCCAGAAGGACAGTGCAATTTGAGCGCAGGCCAAGTCAACGCTATGCACGCAGACAATCCCACGTGCTGCGTGAACGTCAGAGGTTTGTTATTAATATAATTTAATCTTTTGTAAGTATTATCTATATTCATTTAAACATATTTTAAACCTTATTTTCTTTATGTTTTTATTCAGAGGGAACGGTGGGGCTTCCAAGAATTCCGAAACTGCCACTGCTTCTACAGCTCCTGCCCCCTCTTCAATCAGCACTGGTAGCTTTCGTAGCATTGGGTCAGCAACACCTCAACCTGCGGAGACCCAAGCATGTGGGTTGAGCACGATTGGAGGTCTTCATTCAAGCTCATCGAATCATGATGGAACTTCCTCTAAACAAATTGATGTGCCAACTGCCACATTGGTCAATACCTCTGATGATCCTGTGAGCCCAGTTCTGTCCGGAACACTGAAGCGCAGGAAAGCCTCATCCCCAGGTATGATTAACTGTCACCAAACTGTATCAAGACTGTTTGAAGGTGGTTTTTTTTTTAAAGTATGGTTGAGCTTGTATTGATTAAAACCATGTATGCATTTTTTTGCTCACATGCAGCTGAGGAAAGGCTAGATACACTTCTTAAAAGTCTTGCTAAGGAAAGCCCAGCTCTGAATGCTGACAATCCCAATGATTCAAGTTCTATCAGTGAAGGTAGGTGTGATTATATTTTATTTTTTTTGCCTGAAGCATGGTTTGTGCGTTCTCGTCCTCTCCCTTACTTGCATATTTCTTGTGTAAAGATGTGGATCTTGTTGGGGACAATCCATCATGCCTCGCATCCACAGCCATGGCTGGTCCAGCGGTGTCTGGTGGGACTTTCACTTTGTCTCCATTACCAAAGTATCGTAATAATCAACGTACTCCAAGCAGTGCTGGTCCTGCTCGTCCTATTCCTCCTGATCAACTCAAATGCAATATCCTAAAAGGTATTGTGGACAGATATGTGTTGTAAAGAAATACTGAACTGTTGATCAGTGTAGTGTCAATCATGTGTTGTGTGTTGGGGCTAGAAAGCAATCTTAAGTGTATACCTCGTAAGCAATGATCTGCCATTGTTTTTCTTTTTGCCTTGCAGCTAAAGTTGAAGAAGGGAAACTGTCCAATATTGGAGATGTAGAAAAGAATATTACTAATGGGTAAGCCGTCTTCTACCTCTTCAGAGCACCAAGAGTTTCTATTTCACATAGAACTTCTATCTTAAGCAAAAATATTTGTTTGAATTGACTCTCTAAATATGTTTTCAGAGAGCTTGGGCACAAATTTTTCTTGGACTCTCCTATCGACACTAGAAGCGCAACTTTTGTCTCAGTGGTAAGTGCCTTTGTTTATTTCCCCATCGCTGTTTGTGTCCTCATCCTTAGCAGCAATTGTTGTATTTCTCTAAACCTCACTGTTTCATTTCTGGGAGAAAATTTGTCCAAAACCTTAAAATGTAAGTCCTATCCCTAATTTTGCATTGAAAAGTAAAGTATCTTCCACCTAATTCCAACTTTTTTCATAAAAAGTTGTTTTGATCCATTTCTGAGATATTTATTCCTTTCATGCTGCTAAAGGTTTGAGATACAAATCATGGGTGAGTTTGTTGGTAGATAAAATCTATTTCTATTTTATTTGTCTCGTATTGTTAATGTCAATATCTAGAACTGAGCAGCTATTAGATTATTTTTCCCCTTTCCATCTTACTCTGTGTAATTTTTATTTTTTTTGTAGTCTCAGTTTGCTTTAATTTGCTGTGATTGTGAAATTTTTATCTAGAACCTAACTATTTCCTGTGAATATGGAAATGAGAGTTTATCATTTTATGTCTTTGCTTTGGTTAGTTTCTGATTCACCTCAAATGCAGCTTGTATTTCTCTGCGTTTGAATTTTTTGGGATCATTAATTATTGGATAATCAAATGGGAAGTACAGCAGTTTGCTCATGACAAATGGTGTCTAAGCTGCTTTCTTTGTTTAATCTAAATTTTTGGTTGTGTAAAGTGACAAAGTTTTTAAAATTTCATCTTCATCTTTGATGATTTTAGCTTTTAAAAATTGGGATGCTGCTTATATTTGTGGATTTCTGAAGAGCTTGTTGTGCTTATATCTTTTGTTTGTTTGTCTTCCCACCTTTGCTTGGCTTCTTGGGAAAATTAGGGAGGAGACAAGCTGACTTTAGCTCTCTCAGGATCAAGCACCACCCAGGGTTCAAATGGAGGCCTTCCAACTGGAAAGGAAAGCAGTTCAAATTCAGATGAAGAGGATCAAGAAGATTGTGCATCTGATGAGCGCACAGACAAAGCAAGATCTCCCACTCCTGTTACTGTCACACACTTTTCTTGGGGGGAGAGAGGAAAGCTTGAGCAGAGAATCTTATCAACTGCTTCATCACCTCCGCCTCCACTTAGTCTTGTGAACAATTCCACCCATTCTCAGAGAAACAGATCACCCTCGCCATTATCCCCATCATTCTTCCCACCTAGCACACCGGACCCTATTGAGAAGAAAACCTCGCCAACTCCTTATAGCACAAATCCTTTTAATCCATTTTCCTCTAAGACTCATTTTTCTCCAACTTCCCCAAAAGAAATGAAATTCTCAAATCCATTCTCTTCTTCAGACAAAAACAAAACAAATCCATTTCTTTCTCCCAAAATGGTCAGGCCAGACACCACTAATCCATTTAAAGACACTGAGAGAGCTGAGGATACTCCTACTGCTCCAGTTGCTTTGGTCACTTCAATACCTTCTGAGAAGGTAGCTAATGCAGATGTTTTGGTCAAAAAGGTAAGCTTCTCAGCTCATAATGTAGGGAAGTTTTCGCATCTATATTGGCTTTACTTTGGAGCATGTGTGTGCTTTGGAAATGTTTTTTGTTGCAAAATGTATCTTAAGCTAAACAGTTAAAATTGGGGGGAGGGAAGTAATTATTGACTGAAGTATTTAACATTATTTTGTAAAAAACGCTCTGTAGAACTTAATGGCCTAAATCCTGTATTTTGCCATAACAGACCCTGTTTTAATAACTAGTATTAATTCATAGTTCCTTTTTCATTTCAGGAGACTGCCTCTGTAGCTAGTGACCAAACACAAGGTAATTCAGCTACAGCTTCATCTTCAAATCTTTCAAGTCCTACTGCTGCAACCACAGTAACAGATGGTGCTCCACCCATCAGTACTTCTACTTCTAATTCTGCATCGAATGTTTCCATATCTAATTCAACCCCACCTGCAACATTAAACCAACTTTCGCCATGGTTGGTTGCCTCAGAATCCCTTTCAGGGCCTAGCGCTGCTCAACAGGCTGCGAAGATGATCAAAGAATCTTCTATTACCAGGAAAACAGTAATTACAACTCAGCTGTAGCCATATATGTGATTTTCCCGTCCATTTACCCATAAATCATATTAATTTTACATGTTATTGCATGGAAAGTATTTTCTATTGATGTAAATTTTTGTTTCTACTATCGATATTCAGGGAAGGATACAAAATTTATGATAATCCCTGTACGTTTATATCCTTTAACCATCCATAGGAAGATGTAAAAGTTTTATTGCCTTTTCCATTCAAAGTATTTAAAGTGCATGCCACTTAGTAATTTATAAATATTTATATGTATATTTTAATATTTCTTCTTTTTAAATGAGACTTGATTGTTAACACTCCATTCCAATGTGACTTTCCATTGTAGTATGAATCCCATATATATCATGGATTGTGGTATCAAGGTGTTGTTTTTTTATTTATCATATTTTATTATATCTGATTGTCAATGTTATGTTACACCACCATTTCTGTCGGAGATAGAAAGGCAGTCGTAGGAACCCTGCAAGTTTTTGAATTCAATTATAAATATGTTTTTAAATCAGTTTTTATTAACTCTTGCCTTAAAACTGAACTGCCTCCATGGGTATAACAAATTAAAGGTGGGTCTATGTTAGGAATGCTGCAAGCTGAGTTGGATCAATTGGGATGGTGGGACAGGCTAGGCCACCCTCCATGCACCACTCCTCTCGCCCCAACTACGGTCGCAGCGTTCCAATTGAAAATCCATCTTTAGTATGTATTATATGCGTTCATGATTTTCGGAAACGCAGTAAACAAATTTGTTGTTTTCTTTGCAAAGCGGTATTGTGTGTTGTTTTTTTTTGTTTTTTTTTTAAATTTGTCCATGGTGCCTAATAAATACCAGTCCAGCCCAAGTACAGTAGTTCAATTTTGGTAGCAAACCAGACATGTGTATGTTTTATTTCTTTCAAGTGTAACTATTTTGACTTACATTAACACGATGAGTCTCACGTGACCACACGTATGGGCACAATTAGCCGTGATTGGCACCCCCCTTGGGACTCAATGTGTTAAGTGACAGAAAAACTGAATGAAATGTGTTAAAGTTTGTCATAATATTTTGCTTTTGGTTTTGTAGCAATGAATTTCTGTTGACTGTGATTTCTTAAATATTAATTGATGTGTCAATATATTACTGGTTAGCAGTTATCTTTGTTTAAATCAAGGATCATTTTTATTTTAGTATTTTAAAAATTCAAAATGGCCAAATTTTGGACTTGTTTTTGTCTTTTTCTTTAAATTTTCTTTTGGAAACTTTATTTAACCAACTCTTAATCAAAACTGGTTAAGAGCTGTGCTGGATCACCATGTTCCTATTCAAAACATTACTATTTGTGATATAGAGTATATTAAAAGTGTCATACACTTACAATTTTGCCTTTGTCCTTTTGAAATGTAAACCAGGATTCTAAGGAAATGCAAATATTGGAGCTTACTGTAAATGAGTATACTTATCCTTAGTTTATTTGTCGCAAGTACTTTTGTCTCTAATATGTAGTTTTAAGTTACATAGGTGTTACTGTTGCTGTAAAGTTAAACTCTGGAGCAGAGACTTGTGTATGGATGTAGAGAGTCTGCTTCAGTTCCATTGGTTTTGTTTGTTTCTTATCCAACAGAAATTTGTCTATTTCCATTTTCTATCTTGTGATTTATATTACAATTACAATGCAAAACATGATGGCTGAAAATGTTGCACTATATAGGGCAATATTGCATTCTGTATATTACCTAGATCTGTTTTGTGTCTGTTAGGTATCAGACAGACTGCAACTAAAAGTTTGTATCTGAGCGATTATCTTACATGAGTTGACCAGATTTATACAGATGCTTAATTGTATCAATACCATTGTGATCCAAATATTTCTTTGCGTGACTTTACTTACTATTGGTTTATACTTCAGGTATTGTTTTACCAGTTTGAAAAGACAGCCAGTACTTACATTTTAAAATAATAGTTCTCAGGAATTATTGTGCTCTTAATAGCTTGTGCCATCTCTTGGACTCTATGAACAGAATCATTTTGATTTGTACCTTGTCCAATTCATGTACCTCTTGACAAATGAAAATTCTTTATAAAACTTAAACCGTTTCGTTAGTTGTTATTCTTGCTTCCTCTTGGGAAATGTGAAATTCCCATGTAATTCAGCAATTCTAACTTTTTACACTTGATACAATATTAGTAAGTTTTTCAACTGTTACTGTTGGTTATTATCAGTATTGTGTTGATGTACACCTTACCATGTAGACAATTAAATCAGTTTTCAGTTTTTTTTGAATTCGCACTATGTACTGTGAGTGTATCCATGTATTCCTAGTGCCTTAAATGTAACATCCGTCCTTAAATGTTTATGATAATTGTCAAATAAATTCTATTATACCTGTATACTTCAGTTGTTCATCATTTCATTTATTTGGCCGTCACCATTTTCAGCGCGGGCGCTGCTCACCTTCTCGATTAGCGGACAGAGTTGCGGTCATTGGCCGTATTTATCTGGACCAGCCGCGTTTCCGGCGCGCTCTTGACGACTTTTGGAGGAGGCCGCTAAGCGTCCCGGCGGCCGAGCCTAATGACGCGTGACGGGCGTCGGGTCCGGTCGGGTCGCGAGCGGCGCAAAGCGACCCCGGGGCGGCATTGCAGGACCTCGACGCCTCCAGGACATGTCTCCCTCCCGTCCGTGTCGCCCCCTTCTGGTTGTGGCCGTGCTCGCCTCGTGGATGGTGCAAGGACACGTGCGTTTCACTTCGACCTTTCATGCGTGGAAGGTGTGTAGTAAACCAGAAATGTCACTATGGCTACGTGTTTTGCAGGCTTCAGCGGCCAAAGCGTCGTATAAGCCACGCCTTTCTATTTACTTCCATCTCATAGAAACTTGCAAGAATGTCAAGCAAAACGTTGAGCTAAAAAATGTGTCTTCTTTTCATACACGAAATGGCGATAGCTATCTCAACGCAAATATCTATAACCACAAGGAAGCGAAAACAATCGCATGGGTAAGAGTTTTTTGTGTTGTTTTTGCCCCCGTTCTCAACACATTTTCGAGAACCCCTGTAAAATTTCTTTCATGTAGTCTATGGAGTTGGTCGGTTGATCAGCCAGGGAATTCCCCCACTAAGTGCATGTGTCGCAGGGAGACATTGAGATCAACGGGTGCCTCGACGCCGTGTCGTACAACACATGCGAGCACTACAGCACGTGGACATTCCCCGGAGGCGTGTGCGCCCTCGCCACTGCCCCCGGCACGCCTTGGGGTACCGTCGTCAGAGCGGTGCAGCCTCCCTTCCGATGTCCGATCCGCGCGGTAAGTCGCCGGGGGAAGGACCATTCGCAGTCGCCAAGTAGATTTTGTTCGCAGTGGAGAAGGCAAATAATGATAATAATAATAATTCCCCGAGGGAATGCCCTCATTCCAGAAAGGCCCTCTGAGTAGTCGGCTCCCTTCGCGCACTGCCCAGCGCCCAAGCCAAAAATTGTGTTCAATTATAAAAGTATTGATCCATAGATATCACGCAAAAAGACGCATCAACAATATTCGACACAACAAGGGCGACAAAATTTTCTTAACCGTGGGTTCGTTTCGCAGCAGTTAACAAGAATTGTTTTTTCTCCAGGGAGAGTACATTCTGAGGAACGGATCCGTCGATCTCGAAGCAATAGATAAAATTTCGGGAGTCCGCAGCACTAAACTCTTTGACAGGATTTGGCTATCACGTTTGCGTTGCTTCACCGAAAACAACGAGCTTCACGCCTGCTTGAACGCCAAAGTATCTTTCCTCCGAAGACGCGTGTGACTGCTGTGACAAAATGACGAATATTTTATAGATATCGCTCCTCACTATCACTGAATGTGCTAAATGCGTTGAGTCCTGGAGAGGACCTTACCTTCCATGCAAGGTGCTTCCATGGATGTTTTACCGAACATCGGTGATGCTTTCGTTAGTCGATTCGCTTCAGGATGTAGACCACATAACACATTAATACAGGGTGGTCCATAGACCCCTTCCTTTATTTTGCTTATACTGTACCGGATGCAGGCGTGCGTGCGGCCTTGCCTACCCTAGCTCGCCGTTGTGTCTTATGGCCCCGTGCGAGTATGCAACCCGGCCGCGCACGCCTGCATCCGGTACAGAAAAAGCGAAACAAAGGAAGGGGTCTGTGGACTCCCACGTCAAGGTAGGTACCCGTTGCCTCTGCCGGGGACCGATACATACAGGGTGGTCCACACCACCACCACAGACCCCTTCCTTTATGTTGCTTACTGTACCGCCAGTCGTGCGGGCGGGTTGCTACCCGGGGAGTTCCGCAATGCCCATCCAGCCAGTGTAACCAAAATATAGGAAGGGGTCCATGGACCACCTGACCTACCCCACCTTCGCATACGACGCTGGCTCGCCCCGACCAGTAGCGCCTCTGGTGGCCGCCGGCTGCAACTACGTTGCCGGCCCGTGGCGAGGCGCCCTGCCTGCCTGCCTGCTGCCAGGCCCGCCGCCGCCGGCCGCCCGCCAACGTCTCAGCGCAGCGCAGCGCAACGTCAGTCAGTCTCACGCAGTCTCCCATCTCATCCGCTAGAAGACGGCCGTGTCTGTCGCCGTTCGCCCGAGACGTGCGCGCGCAGCGTGCGCCCACCGCGAGCAGGCCGTGCTTGTTGTTTCATTGGCCGTGATTTGTACAGTGCCGCTGTGTCTGTCCGTGGCAGTGGCTGTGCGCGGCTGACAGCCCGCCTCGCGCGTGTGAGAAAGAGTGCCCCCCCCATCGGATACTTTGGATATTACGCACGTCGAACATACGACACACGACGACAATGGTGAGTCATGTCATTGACATTGGGCGGATTGTTGTCGTGGGCGAGGGACTCAGCCAGACCTGTGCTGCAAGCTTTCAAATCAAAAACAAAAATTAAAAGGTTTGATGAAGCCAACCCCCAACCGGTTGCAGCGCGTCGCAGCGCTGTCCGGGCTGCTGCAGGCGAGCCTTGTGTCGGACTTGCTCTCACATGACCTGCAAGACCTGCAAATGACCTGCAGGAGACGTCGTCGGACCGGCGGGCCGACGCGACGTGCAATGCTGTATTGCCATCTTCGGCCCTGCTGCCGGTGTTCTCCGCTCCGTCCTGCGCGGAAGGCGAGGCCGGGCATTTGATGAAAAGGGGGAGGGGGGGGGGCAACGCTCAAACCGCACCCTCTTTGTTATGAACCAGGTGCACGAGGCGAGGCGGGGGAGGGGCGGCGGGGCAGGAGGCAGGACCACGAGGACCACGAAGACCCGCAAACAAAGGTCAGCAAATAATAGTCATCCCCATTCATCTGAAGCGGGATGCTCATCCGACTACTTTTTTGCGAGATAGAAAACGGAAGGCGGGGGCGGTTCGGCGCGAGAAGTCCCATTCGGGGAAGAACAAAGTCAGTGTGTCGGATAACGTGCCGTTCGGTGGCAAAATCCTTCAGCCGCCTGCATCAGTCGGCAGGTTCAATTCATTCATCGCATGGGACTTACTTCACGATTTGTTCTGAGTCGGTCGAAAATTATGAGAAGGGTATACCAGCCCTGTCTCGCTTATCCGCAGATACCCCAATAATACACTAACTGGATTTGGCGCTGGGCCAGCGAGCCCTCGCCCTTGCTGTGATCCAGTGCCTCCAGCGCGAGGGGCAGGAGCCGAGTAGAGGCGGCCGAGTAGAGGCGGCCGAGTAGGGCAGGGCCTCGGGCAGGGCCCATGTTGTCTGCCAGCCGATACGCGGCAGATAGATAACCTCAGCAGAGCAGCGGGCCAGCATCCCAGCGATGGAATAGATTCTCCCCATCCCCCTTCCCTCTTTTTCCTTCCAACGGATGGCCCCCTCATCACACCGCGGCCCATGGATGCCACAGGCTACTGTCCGGCCTGACCCCAACTGCTGACGGCTACAAGACGTTTGTCGACGACCTGAAGCAGTGCGGTTTGGAGGGCACGAGTTGCATCTCTGCGCGCCCCAACCACGGAAGGCAGCTCTGCATCTGCCAGCCCAGGCCTCGCCATTCGCAGCTGCTGCCAGCTGCGGTGGCACCTGCAGGTGTTATTGGTACTGCGGTCGCTGCTCTTCGCTGTGGCTAGAGCGCAGTAGTGTCTGGCGCTCCCGGAGGGTGGGCCCTACCCAATAAGGCCGGTGCCTACCCGAGAGGAATTCAAACGACATGGCAGAGGGGAAATGGACATGGCAGAACACCACTCTCGTTATCTTTCTGCGAAGTAAAAAATGCCAGTTCCTCCTCGTCGCCTGCTTGAGAATGTCTTAATTGTCCGTCATAAATTTTGTCATCCGTGTACGTCATTTATCTATCGTTCGTCCACCGACAACTTTTTCACTAAATTATACTGTAGGTTTCTACACGGGTTGATATTAATTTACGTATAAGCTTCTTGTGGTAAAAGGGCCATCCAGGCTGGAGTAATAGAATTCTATCAAACCCAAACTACCTCTTGCCAACTTGGGGCAAAGATGCAAAATAATGTTGACGGAGTCCATTGCAATTTAATGCCTAAATTCTTAATAAATAAACGCCAAGGCCGCTACTGTCATTGGTCAGTTTGTTGCAGCGACTTAATTAATGATTTTTGTCCACTCAAGTGCGACGCCACGGCCGCCAGCTGAACGGCGGGGGTTGTTGTTGGCACTGCAGCCAGCGATCTGCCCCCTGCTGCCCTAGGCAGGCGGCCCTAGGCACTGAGCAAATGAAAATGCATTTAAACCCACCCCGCGCGCTCCCCGAAAGGAAGGAAGTAAGGGAGGGAGATTGGAAAGGGGGGGGGGGGTGATTAAAAATAACGTTGGGACGAACGGGTATACGGGAGCAGCAGAAGCACAGCAGCATATCGACATTCCACCGCAGAGCGAGAAAGGAAGTCGGGCGAGAACCCGGCCGGCGCAGCAGCCCAGAAGCAGCCTGTCGCACAGCAGGCGCAGCATGCCACACGGCCCTCCGCTCCTCCGAAAATGCCGCCAAGTCGTGCGCGGCTGCGTCGCGCCCAGATCCAGAATCGCGGATAGTGTTTCAGCCGCCCGAGACCGCGACGAGGACCGCGAACAGAAGCAGGCAGGGCAGGCATGGTCAATCCCACACTGGCCAACTCAGACTGATTCAGAAGAGCGCTCTCGCTCCGTCTCTCTCCCACTCATTGGGCGCGCCGTACAGGTGCGAGAGAGACGGAGCGAGGAGAGCGCTCTTCTGAATCAGTCTGCTGGCCAGTCCAGGCGTGAGAAGCTGCCGGGGTGGGCTCGTCGGCATCCTCGGGCTCTCCTCGACTAGAGTCCTCCAGTTGGACTGTACGTATCCTCGACGTGTGACTGCGCCGTCTGCGCGCGCCGTTCTCCCCAGGGCGTTGCGTTGTGGGAAGCAGCCGCCGCGCCCT